TTTTGTTGCTTTTTGATTCTTATAACATCTCATTTCTTGCACTACTTTTGTGGTGATTTAGTGCACAACTCATCTCACACACACCATGTGTTTTCTAGCAACATGGCGAGCCGGCGGAGAATTCCGATGACACCGTAAATATGTTACAAGTCTGTAAAGCCGCTTGGAGGAACAGCTTCATTCGTCTGGGCGTCTGGGGGTCGATCGAACGCCTCTCGAGATATCGATGGCACGCCTCGCCAATCCCGAGGCACTCAACGCAGACATCCGTGCCCCTTTAACCACCCTCGCTGCTCACCGCACACACACACACGCTGAAGCCATCCCCCCAATTTGTCTGTGCATGTCAAATCACAATAATTAAGTATTATCGATCTCAGGTTCAATTAACTTCATTAATGTGGGTTGCTCTGGTGATTGGGGCGGGATGGAAAAGAGGGAGGGAGGGAGGGAGTGGAGATTATAGGATCTCATCAAGTGGGAAATGGCGGGCAGTGCAGAGATACACTCACACATGGTTCATGTGAGAGGATTCTGGTGGGTTGCTTTCATCTCAGACATACAGCCATGTCTTCAGCTTTGTCTCTACAAAAAAGTGTTTCCCTACTGTGACTGATGTGGACGGTCCGTCTTTGTCTCACACAAACACACACACGCGCACTGAAACTTGCACGGTCAAAGCCGAAGTGTAAACAGGCAGCGCAGACGTGCCTGTGTGTCTGATAGGGCTGTTAAGTGGTTATATAAGCATGATAAACCGTTTCCTAACATCGTAACATCTGCAGAGTGCACAAGCATTTCCTCACTTTGAGCAGCAGAATACAGACACACAGTTCTGTGAATCACAGCTTCGCGGGTATTTTTTCGACCGTGAATCCAAACATCCCCGTTCGGTTTAATTCGACTGTGTGTTCTTAGAGGTGTTTGCTGCTATAGCAGGGGATTTGTAATTTTTGCTCAGATGTAAAGAACAATTTCCGAGCCCTTCCACTGCAGCTCTCCCACAAACTCTGGTGTTTGCTAGCTCCCTTTTTTTTCTTTTTTAATCGGCCATCTCTCCCAGCCCTTGCCTGCTGAAACTGAGTTCAAACTGTCTCTTCCACCCTGCTGACAATTCATCTGGAACTCTCTCTCTCTCTCTACTAATTAAAAGAGCACCTGCACGCCTGGTGTGTTTGGCCCAGGCTTCTTCTACTCCGGCTTTTTCCTGCTTGTGTGTGCGTGGATATGTTTCTTCCATTATTTATCTCCGTATCCACGGGTCGTAGTGTTGTGAACCCTTGCAGCCTGGACACAAGCCAGCAGCCTTGGGGATCATCTCTGCATGTTCTCGACCGTGTGCGAGTGTGGTGTGTGGCCCCGGTCTTGACATCCGTCCAACCTCCCTCCCCCAGTGAAGCCATGTTGTGCCAAGTAATGGCTAAAGAGAGAGTGGGACAACGAGCAGCCACACTCTTGAACCCTATAGGGCTATTACAGTGGGCTCATAGTTGTTAATAAGTCTGCTGGTAAGTAAAGTGAACATCAGTGGTTCTCAACAATTGGGCAGTTATCGACACACTCCTGTATTATTGTTTGCATACTTTATTTTGAGAATTTCTTATGAATGACTGTCGATGCGCCTCAATTTTCTTGCCAAAACCAAAATTTGACAAGATTACATTTGAACACATCACGATAACGTTATGATCAAATAGCAATCTTTACTAAATAGAGATTAAACGTGTCAAAATGTAACTCAATCCAACCTCCGTAAGCCAGCTGTTGGCTCCGTTACTTAGCCAAGTCAGACTGTGCTGCACATCGGATGCTAACAGCTAACGTTAACTAGCTCTGCTCCTGCCGATTTCAACAGGTTTGTTGTTCACAATGTATCAGAGTCATCATCGTCCCAGGGACAACGGGACAACGTTAATCTCAATCCCTGATCCTCAGTACGGTATCTGTGGTACTGTAGGAAAACGAGTACCGTCACCTTTTTGAGAATTTTGGCATCGACTTGGTACTGAAGTACTGATTCTCATGACATACACACAAATAGTAATTCTGATTTGTTACCAAAAAATATGGAGAAACAGACACAAATAGGATTACAAATTGGTGTGAGGTTGAATTTTAGTATATTTACTACCAGCTGCAACAGACTGACTACACAGAAGTCAAATAAATAGCTTGAAGTGATGGATAAACGGTACTACAGTACATAACGAAACAGAAACATAGCCAGCGCGGTTTCAGTGGATGGTGACTCGCCAAAAGAAGCCAAGTTCAAAATGAACTAAAAAGCCATGTTTTCAGAATAAATATAACAGAAAGGTCTATATTTGTTTTAAATGGATATTGAGTCAGTTTAAATTGCAATTTAACAGGGTATTTAGTTTACGATGTCACAGAACGATGCGAGCGGCTGTAGTTGAACCTAAGCTGTCATTGCAGCCTATTCAATGTAAGCAGTTGTATCAATTCGTTGCAACACTGCGCCTATTAAATGTCAAAATGTTTCCATAATTTCAACATCCTCTTCCTCAAACAATTCCGAAAAGCAGTCTTGCGCTTCACGCTCCATGTAGGTGGATGCAGCCTACACGCCGAGGTTTTATTCTGCACACAATGGTCTCGCTGCAAACGCAATTTTCTCCCCGATCCTCCTGCCTGTGTCTCTATACATATCACACATTTGCAGGTACACCGATGGACACACGCAAGCACACACACCGTGTTCTCGTCACACACAAAGGCAGCTAATTCAAAGCGGAGCGTGCACGTTTTGCGTTTTAAAGGAGATTTCACATTGATGTTTGGCCTTGATGAGAGCGCCGGGCTGCTGTTTTCGGCTGTTTCCTCAGCCGGAGCATTGTTCTCTTAAACAGCTGTCGTTATGGCTGATTCAGAACAGATGGCATGTACATGTGGGTCGGCTCAGCTGCACGTATGTGCGGGCGGGTGGATGCATCTCCGAGACAGAATGGGGGAGAGAGATGGGGAAGCTCTGAGACACAGTATGTGTGTGTGTGTGTGCGTGCACATGTTTTATATCTGTACATGTTAAAACATGCAGCTTAAGTGCATCAAGGTTTGTTAGATAGATGTACTTCAATACAATAAAAGACAAACAATAGTAACTGGTGCAGAGTAGATAAGGGTTATGTGACCCTGCACATAACAGCATCTAATACAAGAGAACATGTTCAAAATGAATCCTCTTCATGTTACACTGAGCACTGGAGCAGACTGCATGTTCAACAGAGAAGTTCCTGAGAATGCCCGAAGGCAAAGAGTTGTTAAGACTACCGTGTGTGTGTGTGAGATGTGTGATGGGCTCAGGGAAATCTGTGTCTCTGTGCATCTGTTTGTCCCACGGTGGTGTGTCGTATCATCGCCGATGGCAACCGGTAGCCTGACAATGACAGAGACTCCTCTCTGTGTTGCTGCTGATGCAGTACTAGCACATACACATGCTCAGTTAGAGATGGGAGTCGGCAACAGCTTCAGTGTGTTGTATGATGTGGCTGGCAGGTGGTGTGGGCATTAGTTGTGCAAGCCCGTATTTTCCTTTGTTTCCAAGCCAATGACAAAACTGTAGGCACAATATGGAGGGTTTTTTCCAACATGCGCATAGTTTTCCTTTCAGTTCTTTATAAGGAATGTAACTGTGCGTCCTCATGTTAAATACAACACAATGATCATTTTGATTTGTTTAAACTTTGCATCTATTTGAAAGTGGTAGATTGTGATTGAATAGGCCCTCACTTCCGTGCCACACCCGTCCCACTTACCGGCTCACTCCGTGTTTACATACCAGCTTAGATGAGCGATGGCCTGTTTGCAGAAAGGAATGCCAGGCACAAGGGCACCGGCGTTCACACACACGCTCCTCTTCTTTGCCAGTGTAGTTGCTAAAGCAAGAGGTTTGTGTATGCACACGCTGCACTTCCATTGGTATTCAGAAATCCAGCCTTAATCACAAAAGTGTGAGCACGCAGCGTTTCTCATCTGATGTTGTTTTATCCATTTGATAGACTTATTAACAAAATAAAACATTCATAGATGTACAAAGAGGCGAGACTGTGATTTGTCTTGATACATATTTCCTCTATATGATTCCCATTGTATTATTCTTAAACTAGAGGGATTTGAATATAAATTGAAAGCCTCAAGCCCACTCCCGAAGCTAAACTGTAAATAATAACTCTAAACTTTTTCTAATCTTTAGTAATTGAAGCAAATGGGTTTTTGCGGGGAGAGATTTGTTGCAGGCAAACGTACATACATTCATTTTTATTTACGAGGAGGCGAGGGCTGAGCAGTGTAATGAGTGAAAATGCATGCTTAATTTAAATGGCGAGTGTGTCTGTTAGGGAATGCATTAGAGTCTGCAGAAGAAGCGTAAGACATATTAATTGACAGACAGGAACCGCTGTCTCCGAGGTTGATACAAGTAATTTATTACTTCAGAAACGAATGCCACTGCCAGAATGTGCTTCATTAATTTCAAATTTAGTTTTAATTTCAAGCTGTTGCCCCTTGAGAAGAATAAGGTGGCAAGTTCTGTTTGAAGCGACGTTTTTCCTCTCTGCCCCCTCCATCTTTCTCTTTTTTCCATCCTCCATCTCTCTCTCTCTCTCTCTCTCTCTCTCTCTCTCTCTCTCTCTCTCTCCAACTGTCTCTGGTTTTCTGCAGTACAGAACAAAGACCTGGGGGTGGAGAGAGAATGGGAGGGGGTGGCAACTTGATTCCAATTTGAAAACAATGTCAATGTAAAAGGGTGAAGATAGAACAGAATTACTGCAATTGTGATAGGAAATACTTTGTCTGTGGATGCCATTGGATGATTACTCTGTTTCCTCTGGCAAAAGTGTGAATGTCAGTGTCTTGTGTTTCGATCAGTTCCCTGCTTGGTGTAGAAACAGGAATACTGGAATCTCCATCATTAGATATGCTGTCAGTGTGGTTCTAACAAATCTCTCTCTTTGTTTTTTTTCTGTTCTCTGCTCGAGCAGCATATGTCCCTGAAGATGAAAAGGAAGCAGCCCTGTTGGATGAGGACCTGGATGGAGACGACTCAGCTCAGGAAGGGGAGGAGCCTGCCTCCAAGTTCCTATGTCAGGACAAGGACAGGCCAGGATCCACTGGCTTCCATGACTCCCCAAACGCTGCTGACTTTTCTGGTCAAGAGTTAGACAGTGAGTCTCACCTAAGTGAATCCAGTGACAGAATGTCAGATTTTGAGATCTCCTCTCTTAAAAATGAGGATGATATCCTCCTTTCAAAAGACCCCTCGAATGCCCTTCCCTTTTCTCCCTCCTCTGTCATGATGGCTGTTGCCAATGTTGCTGCCCCAGTAGGTGGAGACGAGGCCATATTAGCCACAACAGGGTCTGTGGCTGACAGCCTGGAGAAGATGAAGGCCATTTACACCTCCTTCCTGACCAACTCCTATTGGTCCACACTGAATCTAAACCTGAGCCAGCCCCCTGCAGAAAAACCCCCTCGCAGTCACAGCAGCAGCAGTAGTAGCAGCAGCAGCAGCAGCTGTGGAAGTGGAGGCTATGACTGGCACCAAACAGCTATGGCTAAAACCCTCCAGCAGACCTCACACAACCACCACAACAGACTGGGCCTGGTTCAACATCCCACAGTGGCTGTATCCGCAGCATCTACAGAACCCAACCTCTTTAGTACCGTCCAGCTGTACCGGCAGAGCTCCAAGCTGTATGGCTCTATATTCACTGGTGCCAGCAAGTTCCACTGTAAGGACTGCAGTGCGGCGTATGACACCCTAGTGGGGCTCACCGTGCACATGAACGAGACAGGCCACTACCGCGACGATAACCACGAGACAGATGGTGAGGGTACTAAACGGTGGTCAAAACCAAGAAAGCGGTCCTTGCTAGAGATGGAGGGGAAGGAGGATGCACAAAAAGTTCTCAAGTGCATGTACTGCGGGCACTCCTTTGAATCCCTGCAGGACCTAAGTGTCCACATGATCAAGACGAAACACTACCAGAAAGTGCCTCTGAAAGAGCCTGTCACTCCAGTGGCCGCTAAGATTATCTCCTCGGCTCGAAGGAGAGTCCCCATGGACATGGACATCCCTAGCTCGCCAGACTCTAATGGAGGCACACCTAAGCCCACCTCCCTCAACGACTCCAATAACGTACACCAGAAGGTCACCAATCCTTACATCACACCTAACAACCGCTATGGACACCAGAACGGTGCCAGCTATGCCTGGCAGTTTGAATCCAGGAAGTCACAGATCCTCAAATGCATGGAGTGTGGTAGCTCTCATGACACACTACAAGAGCTCACTGCTCACATGATGGTGACCGGACACTTTATTAAAGTCACTAACTCTGCTATTAAGAAAGGCAAACCCATTCTAGAATTGTCCATCCCGACCCCCAAACCCAATTTAACAGCTGAAGAAAAGTTCCAGTCCGTTCCCTTGGCTGCCACAACATTCTCCCCTCCACCTGCCCCAGTTCCTCCTCCAACCAGCATTTCCCCCACTGCCATGGTTGTGGAGATAAAAAAGGAGGAGAAGGAGGAGGAATGCACAAAAGAGCCCATCATCAACAATGGTAATCTCAACAAGGAGAAGAAGGCAGGAGGTGAGGAGGAGGCAGAGGAGAAGTTTGATGTTTCTTCAAAATACTCTTATCTAACTGAGGAGGATCTGGATGAAAGTCCAAAAGGTGGTCTTGACATCCTCAAGTCCTTGGAGAACACAGTGACCTCAGCCATCAACAAAGCCCAGAATGGAGCTCCAAGCTGGGGTGGATATCCCAGTATCCATGCTGCTTACCAGCTCCCAAACCTAATGAAGCTCTCGCTTGGCAACACTGGGAAGAGCTCTGCCCTCAAATACATGTTCCCTGGAGGGGAGATTTTCCCTCCCACTGGTAAGATCCAGCCTCTGATCTCCCCTCCCAGCCGCCAGAACTCCCTGCTAGCCAAAACTAACTTCCATGCAATGGAAGAACTGGTCAAGAAAGTGACAGAGAAAGTGGCCAAGGTAGAGGAGAAAATGAGAGAGCCCAGTGGTGTTGTGAGGGGATCTCCTCTGAGACGTACCACGCCGTCACCCTGCAACAGCGAGCCAGGGGACTCAGCCCGAGGAGAGTCGCCCAAAGAAAATAGAGCAGGAAGCTGTAAAACTCCAGAGAATACGAGTGGGGCAGAAAAAGCAGTAGGTGATGGGAATGGAGCTAATCACAGAGATTCAAATGGAGATATTTCGATGAATGAGTCTGGGGAGAATGGAGTGGAGTCCACTGCTTTGACATCCCCACTGCCTGCCTCTCTGTGTGGCAGTACAGCTATCATCACAGACCATCCTCCTCCAGAACAGCCATTCGTCAACCCCCTCAGCGCACTGCAGTCAGTAATGAACGTCCACCTGGGGAAGGCCGCTAAGCCTGCCCTGCCCTCCCTTGACCCCATGAGCATGCTGTTCAAGATGAGCAACAGCCTGGCAGAGAAAGCGGCGGTGGCTGCTTCCACCCCACCAGCACAGACCAAAAAGCCCGGTAATGACCGCTTAGACCGCTACTTCTACCAGCAACATCTAAACAACGACCAACCCATAGATCTCACCAAAGGAAAAAATGCTGACAAAAACAACAGTGGTGGTTCTTTGGGTTCAACGGCTCTCTCTTCCACCACCACCACCCCGTCTTCAATTTCTCCCTCCTCCGCTGTCACTATGACCAAAGCCTCAGCTGCAGTAGCTTCCTTTATGTCAAGCTCCCCTTTGAGAGAAAACGCACTGTCAGACATATCCGACATGTTGAGGAACCTGACAGAAAGTCAGGCTGTCTCCAAGTCCTCCACACCTACCAGCCTGTCCGAGCGCTCCGACTTCGAAGGTATCACACAGGACGAGATAGAAGATTTTTCTCCAGCCCAGAAACGTAAAGGCCGGCAGTCCAACTGGAACCCTCAACACCTCCTGATCCTACAAGCTCAGTTTGCCGCCAGTCTGAGACAAACAAGTGACGGCAAATACATGATGTCTGACCTGAGCCCACAGGAGAGAATGCACATCTCCCGTTTCACTGGCCTCTCAATGACTACAATATCCCACTGGTTGGCTAATGTCAAGTACCAGCTGAGGAGAACCGGTGGCACCAAGTTCTTGAAGAACTTGGATTCAGGTCACCCAGTGTTCTTCTGCAGCGACTGCGCCTCTCAGATCCGCTTACCATCCACCTATGTCAGCCACTTGGAATCCCACTTGGGCTTCCGTCTGCGAGACCTGGCCAAGCTTTCTGGGGAGCAGCTGCTCAGCCAGATTTCGCAACAACATCATCAACACCGCCACACTAAAGGACTATCTGAAAAACTGCTCTCTAATCTTCACCCATCCAGCCACCCTTTAGCCTCTTCCTTACCCATCTCCCTGCCCTCGTCCTTAACCACTTCTCTGTCCTCAACTGAATCCCCGTCACCCTCCCCCGCCGACGACGACGGTGGGTCTGTGTACCAATGCAAGCTCTGCAACCGGACTTTTGCGAGCAAGCATGCGGTCAAGCTTCACCTGAGCAAGACTCATGGGAAGTCCCCCGAGGACCATCTCATGTATGTGTGTGAGCCGGAGAAACAGTAGCACTGGCTGGGGACAATGCAGTGTTCTTTTGTAATGGCTCACTCTTTCTTGCTCTGTCTCTCTTAAGCCTTTCACAGACAATTCTTTTGAAGAGAAGAAAGGATTATTAACGTGGTGGAACTGCACAAAGATGCCATACAACTACTGTTTTAAGTTTTGGCACATGGTTTAAAATTTTGTGTTGTAGCAGTTGTTGTTTTTTCTTTTCTTTTGTTGCTGAGTGAGGTAGTCTCACTCTGGCCCAAGACACTCGATTTTAGTGATCTGCTTTGACAGGAATAGAGTGACTTTTTTCAAACTGTGCAGGTGGGGGCTGTTGTCATTGAGAAAATACAGTATATGAAGGTTTAAAAAAAAAAAAGAGATTCTAAAATGAAGTGGCGTGTATTTTGAAACTTGTGTAAATGGAATTAAGTTCCTTTATATTTTGACATCACTGGGATGTGATAAGCTGCATGCATAAATGAAACAGTTTAGTTAAACATTTTATAACTAAATCTGGGTGCACTTTCCATAATTTCTTTTTGTTTTAGATTTTTTTTATTCCACTCTTCCGCTCGTTTGCGCTCTTTTTTTAGTTTTAGTTTTTTTGTGCTGGAGTCAGCATTTAAAATTTAACCCTCTGAGTACGTCAAAGCACTTCTACACCTACGATCCAAACACTATCGACTCACGATTTGAGATTGTGAATTATTGAAGCTAATGTGAGAATTTGATGGACAATGTGTGCATTGTGTCTGCAATGCCTGTTTCCCAGACAAACAGTATGGTAAGTCTAATCCTAGACATGAAAGCATTGTATTAGAAAGAGATTCTCTATTCACTGCAAGGTTTTCATCGTGGGCTTAATATTTGTTTGAGATATGTTTGCCGGACTTGACACAAGCATTGTAGCTATGTGGTAAAAAAAAGAAATCTGAAGTCTTTTTACTTTGGTCGATCAGGGACCTATATTAATTCAGGTCTGTGTAAAATATGTACATAAAAGCATATTAACTAATTCCTGTCTAAATTATGCATAATTTCTATATTTTTTAATTTAAAAGGATTATGACTATCTGCTGGTGCACAGTATATGAAGACATAAATAAAATTGTTTTGCACAATAGTTTTATAAATGTGTTATTTAATCAAACGATACAAGAAAAGATAGGTAGCAAAATGATGACAACAGGTGAATCTTTTTATTCCCAACTCGTGCTCAAAGGGTTAAAGACTCTTTTTACCAGACACTACTCTACATGTGCCGCTGTATGAACACTAAAAAAAGATATTAACGGTTGTACAAAAAAAGATGTTACTTTATAAAGATATTTCACATGTAAACTGTTATTTATAAGCACTCTTGGTTGTTTCATATTGTTCATATTGTTGAATGCCTTTTCGATTGGTCCTATTTTTTTGTTCTGTCTAATTACTCTGCCACGATTCCACACTGCAGCTTTATCTTTTTGGGATATGAAAGGTAACCATGGTTACAATAACCTCTTGAGTGACAAGTTCTGCTACATTTTTGGCAGTTAATTTGCTGAAGTAACTGACAGCTGCCAGGGTAGAGAAATAACAAAAAAAATATCCTTATGTGTAAAATATCGGCATGTAAACAGCACAGATACTGTAATGCATTCTGTGCCGTTAGTCTTTTTTCATTTCGTTATTTTCGTTTTCTGTTGTTGTTCTTGACAATGAACCCCCATTATATGACTTCATATAACCTTGTTTTCTACTGCAGCATTAAAAAAAGGAAACTGTTTTTTGCAATTATGTGTGTATGCATTGTGTGTGTCATGGCTATCAATTATGTGTGTGCCGTGCAGTCCCTAATGAGCACATTAGACTGGGAGTGTGTCAACGTCTGTCTGTGACGAGCTGCATACTAGCTTACAGTGAGTGGCAGCAGCGGGGCCGTGTGGGAGACAACACACACACACACACATATCCAGACATGCAAACAGACACCATCATTTTTGGGCTTTTACCAGTAGCCTCCTCTGTTGTCCTGGTGACATAGACTAAGGCGTATACACTGCATAAATAAGACTGAGCCTGCAACAAAAGATTTAAGAAACAGTAAATACATCAAATGACAAAAAAGTTTTATCAATTTATGGGGGCAGTGGAGAGAATCACACAACCAAAAACGCAACTCAGCTCCATTCTCACCGTCTTTCTCTTTCCACACAGGATATGGAAGAATAAAGACAGACAAAAAAAAAAGGTTTAAATAATAATTACCTCCAACGTCCATTTTGTGACTATTTTCCCGCGAGGCAAGACACCTGGCAGACATGTTTGTTTAGGCTTCATGGGATACGACAACAATGCTGACAAGATGAGCGGGTCCTTTCAAGTGTTTATTCATCATCTTTCCCTGTCCGGAGCCGTGATTAAGCAGGAATTGCGTCAGTATCAATTTGATGTGTGCTGCACAACAGCGTGACACAGATATAGCAGATAGGACTAAGAGGTAAAAGTTTGCATGAGGAAGCATTCTACGGGATCTACGGGAGAATCAGCATACGTTCAGTGCAGATGAGGGAATGAGAACACAGAGGTGGGTATTAAAAACAAGCACGTCATATCAACATACGTGCAAATCTGCACACAAGCGCACAAGTGCATTACATAAACATACAGAGCACACGCGATAAATCAAAGTGAGATGGCGCTGTGTGTTCCTGAGCTACATCGCTTTCCCTGCTCCGTTCTGCCACTTAGTAAACCATGCTGAAAAAACAACAGCAAAAAACTACATGCGCAGGCAACTAGACCCACCTGCACACAACACAAACACACTGAATTGTACAGAAAAGCCCACCAAATTATCTTCTTTTCTTCACATGCACAAAGGTGCACAGAAGGCCAATACACACACACACCTCAATAGCTAGGTAGAAGGACTTCATCCGCAGTGACAAGGTGCCACTGTGTGTGAAAATGTCAGCCTTCAACGGCGCAGCCTGAAGTCTGGCACCGTATTTAAGGTTCTCATTAGCCTCAAAGAAAATATGCGTGAAATTGAAGTGTGAGAAAGCCCTTTTCTCTCTCTCCCTGCCTTCACAACCGGCGAGCAGAGGCAAGGGGCTTATTAAGGATCAAAACTAGCATGCAGAAGACAATGGGTACCACCACTGGGATGTGCACACACACACACAGACATACACGGGAAAACATATTCCCATCCATGCACTTACTGTGTATCTCAATGCAATCATAATATGCATTAAACCCTATTAGTTACAGCCAATGAAGTGAAATAGACTGACCTCCATTATGTGCACTACAAAAGGGCAAACATTGGTTTAAGTTATAATCTTTAACACACCTGGGTACAAGTCGTGAGTCTGTTTACAGCGTAAAAATCACTGGTCTAGGAGGTTCCATCTCGTCACATGTAAATAAAGAAAGCCTAAGAAGACAGTCATCACTGCTGTTCAATTCCGGCTGTACAAGACAGGGGAACAACAGGGGCAATGATATAATGCGACATGCATGGAAACATGTCAAAATGACTGATGCAATTGATTGAATCGTAATTATACTAACTTTAACTTGACTGCGGATGGGACCACAACATTCACAGTTACAGGCTTGTGTCTCATGCTAAAACAAATGGTGAATGAATCAATAAATAAACAACTATTTTGCTGTGATTTCAACAAGAGTATACAGCTGCACCAGCTAAAAATGACAAACATTGGATGCTTCAAGCTTTTCAAATGCAGTGATTTACCACTTCAATCATTTTGTATTCCATTGTAAATACTTCTCATTAGAGTTTTTAGCTGTTGGTCTCAAAAATCCAGCAAAGATGGGAACTTGTGCTTTTAGAACTCTCTTTTGAGCCATGCTAGCTGGCACCACTTTTTTCCACATTGAATCTTTCCAACAACGTTTGATGGATTTCCCTGACATTTTCCCAGAGGACGAATCCCATTGACTTCGTTGATGAGGTGACTTTTCCTATAGCGTCTTCATCAGGTCACCAAACACCAAATACCTGCAAAACTTGTGACATTTCCACCAACCACCAAGCTTAACTAACATGGCGAACACGGTAAACATGAAAACACCATCACGTAAGCATTGTCATTGGGAGCAATTTCATCATGCTGATGTTAGCATTCAGCTCACAGCACTGCTGTGCCCGACCGCAGCCTCTCACAACCACTAGCACAACTGTCACTAGTTTGAGACATGAAATGAAAACAAAAATAATCAATAGCTTGCGCATGAGGCCCTCATAAGTGTCCGAAAACTGCGTAGCAATTAAACACTGTTGCTCCATTCTGTGGTCTATATGTAAGATTGGAAGTAGGCTGCCAGCTGTAAAAGGACTGCACTGCCTGAAGCGAGCCATGCCAGTGAACATTACCATCTTAATAGTGTTTTTTGGAGATGGTGCTATGTGCCAGCGTACCACACCTTCTTTGTAGCCCCACACAATGCAACCGTCAGAATCCCCCAGGAACATAGAGAGAGCCTCCACAACAGTAAGCTGCTCGCATGCATTTGAGGAAGGTGTGCTGCAGATCCAGATAGCTTTATCTAAAGCAGGGGGCTGGAGGGAGGGTGGGAATACAAGCTCGGTGGATCCACCGCTCACAATGGAATCACTCGGCATAACACAAATAAAGCCGGGGTACAAGCAAACACACTCCCTACACAAAGACGCACAGGGAGAGCGCCCTGTCCATCTCGCTTTCTCTTGATTTCTTTTTCTGTTCCCATTTCTTCTCTCCCCTGTTCTTTATTTCACTTGCACACACCGTCTCGCAGACACATCGCTACCCATAGGCCGCTGCCTCACACACCATATTATTTGTTTTCCCAAACAAAACAAAATATATAGTTCTTACTGGTAATATTTTATGCCGACAAATGTCCCTTTTTCAGAGGAATAATTCATCTGAGCAGGTGTATGCCACATGCCCAGCTTTGTCGATGGATACAACCCATTCCTGAAAAGCGAAACGAAAAGATGACTTCATTTAATCAGTAGAAATGTTGATGGAACAACAAAAACAAAAAAACAAATATCAACTAAGTCCAAGCTGATCATTTTCTGCTCAGAAATAACAGAAGTAGTTTTTATTCATGTCCCTGCCGTCGGGATGAATTGTAATAACTTTGATGACCCCTGGACTTTTCATAGAGCACCGCCATCAGGACAACATGTCAATGTGTTGAATGCTTTAGTTTAAGACCAAATAGCTGCACCCTAAACTAAGATAGGGAACATGGTAAACATTTGACTTGCTAAACATCAGCATATTAGCACAGGCCAAATCCCAATGTCCCCCCTTACGGGCTCACGGACTTTGAGGCGCGCTCCCGCGAAGTCCGTGAGGGTTTAGGGCTGTCCCACTGTCAAATTGTCAAGTGTTTGAGGCTCTCTCGCAGACATTTTGAGTCCTTTATGAACCCTGTCGGTAAGTCAGCATGGTATGCTGACTTAGCCTAAGGGAATTACCCACAAATCATTGCAATGTGACGTTAAACACGGGGTAACCAGTGGATGCATGGAGACGTAAAGAAAAAGGTAAACAAAGAGGACGGATCACGTGTGTTCTGTCATGTTAAATTTACTCAGAAACAGTCAGGGTTAAAGATGGAACAAAAAATAAACATGAAATCAGAAGATATTTATTTATTTATTCATCAAATATTTGATTTTGTCATTGAAGCTGTTTTGACAAAACGAGTAAATAGATTATATGAAGTTACCACTCATCTAGTGAGGAAAGAGCCTGAAGCTGTTCAAATCAGGGAGTACAAAGTATAAAATGAATACACACAGTTATACATCATATTTCTTGTCGTTATCATGGTAACGTGATATGTTGCAGCAAAGTGCTGTCCCATTCCTATTCACACCATCTCAAGCCCTCACAGTCTCTCACACTCAACCACTCACCAGGTGACGTCAGTAATTCCTTGAGGGTTCAGGGTTTGAGGGTTTAGGGGTGACATTGGGATTTGGCCATAGTCATTGTGAGCATATTAGCATGCTGACAATAGCATTTAGCTCAAAGCACTGCTGTGCAAAGTTACAACCTTACAGAGCCACTAGCATGGCTATAATAGCCTCTGAAACTTAAAGTTTGATATCTAAAACATTTCTTGGAAACAAAAAATATTCATGACCAAGTAAGCACAAATCGGAGGTAAAGTTCAGCAATAAATACCCATAGTGTTTATTCATTAAGAGTTCAACACTGTCAAACAGGACGTTCAACCAGCAGACCACAGTTTGTGTCCCATGTGATAACAAGGAAGGTTTACTCATTTTACCTTCAGTTTCTTTACATATCTGGCATACTTAACCAATGTAAATAACATTATTACATTACATTGACGAGTATTTGTTTGTTTGTTTCGTTTTGTACAGTTTTGTACAGTATACTCACAAGCCAGGCTGCATGAGTGCTATTGTTGGTGCTGAGGAAGTAACGTCAATATTCTGGGTACATAGTTTTGTAGCCAAGATCACAACAGTTACGCGTATAAACACACTTGCCCGGTGAAAACGTAACATTTTGACAGCCGGACTTGCTTTATTGAAGCTTTATTCTGTACAACTGTCAAGAAAATGCAAAAGTTTCAACTACCCTGTTTAGTCACTTAGTATTGATTGACGGGGTTTCAAGTCAAAGAGGGCTTCCAAATAAATATCTGCCAAGAGCCTCTAAAAGGGCAGTGTGCCTTGTTTCAGCATCGTCAAAGTCAACCAGTCCACTGACCTGAAAAGAATCGGATTGATTTTCAGACAGTTTTCCTGCATGCTTTTTTTGCCTTGTTACTTAAAGTCGTTATTCCCCTAAAAGTCAGATGTTGTACTGTGGATCTAGTCGTGGACTTTACAACAACCTTATGCTCCACTCTACAGTCAACTAAATATTGAAACAAATTCTCAGGCTGCATCACTGAGACTTTTCTGGGGCTGCACTGACGGCACACACTAATTATATGGAGATATGGGCGATGTTGCTGTGTTTGATCTTATCCAAAATGCCATGAATACCAGCTGTCAAGTGAGGAAGAGTTTATGTAAGCCCCCTAGTGATAATTACAAGTACGCCATATGGAGATACTTTGTGGTCCCTGATTTAACTTGAATTGCAGAGGTTTACAGGTTGCAAACACTGCAGCCAATGGTGGCAGTCCAAGGTACAAAACCTATATAAAAGGTAAAGGTAAAGCCTATATCATATTTGCAACTAATCTTTAAGTTAATTTAAAAGTAGAGTCACAACATGCTATCTTGGATGTGGACACACTTGTCCAACCTGTAGCAACAACATAACCTTTGCACTTCTTCGTGCATTAAGTGAACACAGCATACACATTTGCACTACAGTAACGAACCAAAGGGAACTCGTTTGGATGTAGAACATCAAAGAAGCGTGAGTTCAAAAGATCGTACCCTGGTTCTCTGTCTTCAAGTCGCTCAGCCATTAATTCACCAGGGCAAAGCTTCTTGGTAACATTACCAGGGTCTTGATTTGGGAAAGAGTTATTCATCTATACAACCGCTGGTGTCTCAGATCATAGGACTGGCATATGTAAATTCTGTCTGAGCTGGTTTTTGGGCTTGATTCCTTAAGACTGTGGGAAGTGTGCCAAGAGACTGGGAAGTTGCAGATCAAAGTCACACATCAGAAGCAGCCTGGAAGGTAGAGTCATGACTTTTACTTGTTTTTTAAATACAATATTAAAGAATCCTTACAAGGGTTAACTTTAAGGCTCTATGCTTGTGTGCTGCTCTGAATCTTCCTGGTACATACAAGAGGAACAACAAACAACACTTTCACGAAGGCAGAGATTAAGTTATTCTACATTATCCAAACACATAGACAGATGTACTATTATTCCCAAAAAATGTATGCTGAATTGTCTTTTAAAATACTAAAATAATTTAAACGTTATTATTGTTAGAGTTTTGCACATTGTAATAAAGGCATCTACCAGTGTCCTCATCATGTTCAAATATCAACAGTGCGAAAACATTAATATGAGATATGTTGTCATGCCACATGTTCTTGGAACCTTTAGGTTTACAATTATAGGAGAAAAATGACTTCTTGCCTGGTTGAAAGTCCAGTTAGTTTATCATTGCTGACTCATTTTAAGTTTCGTAAGTACGTTCATTTATGTCACGTACGTAGGCTACGTAACTGAAGTTAAGTAACAAACATATTATTCTAACCCAAACCACAATCTTTGACTAAACCAAACCAAATAGTTGTGTTGCCTATAAACCTAAGTGACGCCATGGGGTCCTGACCAAGCGTCCGTATGTGACAAGTTGGGAATGAGAACGGGTTGGGACTATTTGTTGGGCGGAATATGTCTTGGCATCACTGTTAGGTTGTCAGGCAACCAGCGAAGACCTGAGGAAGTGACTGTTCCCAGTAAAGAAATAGTTCATCAAATAAAATAACTTTTTTTCTTCTTTTGAATGGATTTAACAACCTCTACAAATGTGTTAATTAGTGAGGTGTAGAGGTGCTAGTCAGCAAATTGTGCTATCTTTGGACGGAGCCAGGCTAGCTGTTCCCCTTGTTTTATGTCTTTTTGCAGAGCTAAACTAACAGACTGCTGGCCATAACCATATATTTTTTGTTTATGTGCTGTTGAACAATAGCTATCTTGGCAAATAGTCATGATGCCGCTAAGCTTCTAGCGTCCCCTATTTTGTGAATATAAGGAAATGAATCTCACAGAGCCACGTCCTGGAATTGCTGGGTTGTTGTACTCAATTCAACGAGGTGATTCTTATAATAACTCAATTTATATGAATCATATATGAATTAAAAATAATGCAAACCAGCTTTCATGTTCTGTTTGAATCACTCCAACCTAAGTTCAATGCTTTCTTTCTTAGTCTTGTTTGAGAAATCATTAAATGTCCAACTTGTTCTTCCATTAAATTCCTTCTTATAAATCAGGCTTGAAAAGTATGTAAATTGTAAATTCATATGAATTGTTTCTGCTGTATTTTGGGCAACAATCCTCAAAACTTGCTAATGTTTTGGAAACTTCACCTCCCTCTTTGGTGGTGTGCTCATGTTCTTGCAGTGCACAACCCGGAAATAAAGTATTAGACGTCAAAGTATGCTGGGATTTTGAATGCATACCTCCGTGCTCTAACGACGAGTCAGTCAGCCATTGTGTATGTTTGTTACCTGCAACATCACAGATCTTCCCTGGCCCCACAAGTTTCCAAAGCATCTTAAAATAACACATGTGATGAATGTGCAATTTCCCTAATTTATGGCTGGCTGCCGTATTCAGGGCTGTGGGCTGGACGGAAATCTTAAATGGGGCTTGAACAGCACTCCTCACAACAAGAAATCAATATGCCATGCAGCCTGGAGAGGCGACCCGCTATCTACTGTGGCCGAGGCAACGCTTGCGGGGTAATTTCCTCTAAACGCTACAAACACAGCTCAGCCACTTCACCGACACAAATAGAATCCCAGTCACACGCTCTGACACACTACACTCGAGAAGATGCATGCTGAATGAGGCGTGTGTGTGTGTGTGTGTGTATGTGCATGGGCTGAGATTCAATAAGTGAATGTACTGTATACATATGAGAGTGTGTGTCTCCAGGTGTTGTGGGTAGTCTATAGCTATAATTTGCTTGTGAGTAAAACATTTTGTCAGGTAAAATGTGTAATGTGTTTTGGCGTTTCAAAGGTTTTATACAGCACATACAATATATGCCTCGGCAGGTGTGTCTCTGTTTGTGTATGTGCCAAATACTCAATACTCAATTAAAAGACTTATTTTTATCACACAGTAACATTTAATGAGAAAATACTGAAATAAATGAAAATGTATTTGGATGGATACATTGGGTCAGCAACAAATGGACTTCACTAACATTTTTATACTTCATTGTCAATTTCAATCATTTTACATTGTGCTATATCATTTGTCTCAATCAGAGGCCATGTGTCAAACTCCTTAGGGTTTTGTTCACCTTGTACCCAAGCCCCCAGGAGGAGTGTCGGGTTTAAAGCCAATTTCCGCAGTTGTCAAACAGCGGGATGACATTTTTGGATTGCTCAGATGATGCCATTGAGCCCAAAAGGACTTTTTCCCATAGACTAACACTGGGAAAGAGGTGTCTGTAAATGTATTCATTTAAGTATATCAACTTCCCAATACGAACACTTAAAATAGTACTTATCTAAAACATGAACTCAAAATGCACTAATAGCTGAATCCAGAGTCATTTTTGTGTTGCTTG